TGGGTTGTACTGGATGCAAAGGATCAGGGAGAGGCAAGGTAAGCCTAGGAGCCCCAGAAAGAGGCTGTCAGCTCCAGAAAGAGGCTGGCTGGTGTTGCAGGATCAGGAAGCAGAGAGAGGTGGGGGCAGGGCCGGGTCCGGAAGCAGTGCTCCTGGGGCCCAAGGAAGGCACCAAGCTGGCCTGGTCGGGAAAACGATCAGGAAGCAGCACCAGTTCCCCAGGTGTCTGGGGACCCGAGACCAGGAATGGTGCAGGGCAAGCCTCAGAGCCCCAGAAAGAGGCTGTCAGCCCCAGAAAGACGCTGGCGGGTGTTGCAGGACCAGGGAAGTAGTGGGAGGTGAGGGCGGGGCCAAGACCAGAAGCTGTGCTCCTGGTGCCCAAGAAAGGCACTGAGTTGGTCTGTGTGAGAAGGGTCAGGAAGCAGTATTGGTTCCCCAGGTGTCTGGAGCCCCAAGACTAGGAATGGCACAGGGCCCAAGCTTGTAGTAGAGAACAGCGGGGGAGATGGAAGGGTGGCGTGGAGGGCTGCACGGTAGACTTACCCCCAGAGAGGCCTGAGGGCGGGAGAGCGGGCCAGGAGAGTTAGCCAGTGGTGCAGGTCCGGGAAGCAGGGAGAGGTGAGGGCGGGGCCAGGTCCAGTGGAAGCAGTGCTCCTGGGGCCCAAGGAAGGCACCAAGCTGGCCTGGTCGAAAACGGTCAGGAAGCAGTACCAGTTCCACAGGTGTCTGGGGACCCAAGACCAGGAATGGCGCAGGGCCCAAACCAGGAGCAGAGAACAGCGGCTGAGATGGAAGGGCGAATGAGGCCGGGGGAGTCAATGCGCGGAGAGAGCAGTTTCTTTTTGCAGTGGGAGTTAGTCAGTGGAGAGATGATGCATAACTAAGTGCTCAAAGTGCCAAGAATAAGAGACTGAGTGCTCAGCCCTAAACAGGATATCTATATTAAGCCACCCACCACCAAGTCTCAGGAAACATCAAGGAAGAGAAGATGAAAAGAATGTAAGAGCTGGAGCTGGGCGTGGTGGCGCACGCCTTTAGTCGCAGCACTTGGGAGGCAGAGGCAGGCGGATCTCTGTGAGTTCAAGGCCAGCCTGGTCTACATAGTGAGTTCCAAAACAGCTGGGGCTACAGGGAGACCCTGCCTCAAAAAAGATGGAAAAAATAAAAGATTGTAAGAGCTGGAGGATGGGGAGGATGCTGTGAAATGCTATTTTCTGGACAAGACTTGGCTGTCACACTCATTAACTCACAGCAACTGTGGTTACCTGCACAAGATCAAGTCAACCAAATTGTGGCATAGATGGGGTAGATGCTCTCCAGGACCCACCCCATACTGAGGAGTGACTGGTAATGGATTGTTGGTAGGGAAGGGAGAATGTAGGTTTCCCATGTTTCAGTGGATGGGCACCACAGCTATGCACATATGAACGGCACTAACTTGACTTAGTGGGTTATCAAAAAGAAAAAAAATGAAGTTGGGAGGAGCAGGTTGCCAGGGAGATGAGAGGGGTTGGAGGGAGGAAATGAAATTTCATTGTATACATGTATGAAATGTTCAAAAATAAAGGAGAAAAATTTAAAGCCCTTCCCTAGTGGTGCATCAATGCAGCTTGTGAAAGTGAGCCCTTCAGAATACAGACATTAAGGAGAGATGCTGTCTGCAGTAATAAAACCAAGCAAGAGGGCTGACAAGTTGGCTCAGCAGGTAAAGGTGCTTGCTGCCAAACCTGATGACCTGAGTTCGATCCCTGGGACCTTCATGGTGGAAAGAAGTTGTCCTCTGAACTCCACGAGCCCTTTGTGGCTTGTGCATATGAGAATGCACACACACACACACACACACACATTAAATAAGTAAATATAATAAAGAAAAAATTTAAAAAAACAAAAGAGCTGGGCATGGAGGTACATGCCTTTAATCCCAGCACTCAGGAGGCAGAGGCAAAGGCAGGCGGATCTCTGAGTTCAAGGCCAGCTTGGTTTACATAGTGAGCTCCAGGCCAGCTAGGGCTACAGGGAGACCCTGTTAAAAACAAACAAACAAACAAACAAACAAACAAACAAACAAAACCCCCAAAACCCAAAAACAAACAAATAAACAAGACTATAAGAGTCGGTCAGTTTTTTATTATCCCATTCCCCAGCAACTTTATAAAACCTATTTGGTAAATCTTCCTCCTGTGGGGCCAGTCTCCAACCTTCCAAATCACAATGGAATCCAGTCACCATCAACAAACTCCAATGGGTCTTTGTTGGTTTCTTTTCAATGTTTTATTTTCCAAAATATACAATTTATTTACATCTTTATTTCACAACTGCAGTTTTGTGTATTTATCCCCAAATCTCTAGATAGCCTTGTGGTAAACAGTACAAATCACAGGACCCATCACGTCACTTCTCTTTAGCCTTTTGTGCCCATTGGGTTCTTGACAAGTTTCAAGTAGTAATGGCTTGTAGGTGAGAAGGGAACAAAAAAAGAACGCAAAATGATTTTTTTTTTTTTGCATAAGCTCAACACATAGGATTAGAAAGTGCTGTCTGACCAGCTACTTAGTCTGGGGTCAGACTAAGGATGTTTATGTAGTTTATAAATATGACTCTCAGGTGCAGTGAGGGCTCTGGTTATAAGAAAGAATGGACAGGAACCTCACCTTCAGGGTCTGGGACACGGGGAAGGAGATAAGGCACCACATGATAAAGCCCCTTCTTGGCCTCAGGAGGCACCACTGAGAGGGTCCTGGGTGGGGGCTGGGATTCACCTGTGCAGGTGGAAGCCAAGAATGGCCAGAGCTGGGGTGGGGCTCCTATCAATGCAGAGGCCTCTTCAGCCTCCCTTCAGGGACAGTATTGTGGTTCTAGGAGCAGAGAGGAGGTGGATAGAGCAGCTGTTGGTTCCCAAAGACAAGGGCCAGGGTTCCTGGTAGTCTTGAGGCTGATGCCAGTCACCCTCAGGCCGTCTCCCCAGGTAGGTAGGTGCTGGAGTATTGTAGTTGAGGCATCTGGTAATACAGCTTGCATCTGGGGTTGACAGGGTCCAGAGGGGCTGGCTACCCTGGGGTCTGGGAGTAGCCTGTTGGAGGCATCATGCTGTCCCTTCTTAGGATATCCCTTCATTCACCTCACCTCTGGAGGAAGAGCAGGAGAGTAAGATGTGGCCACAGGCTCCGCACATCATATTTCTGCTGTGACACTGATCCCTCTACTATGTGGGGTGGCTCCCAAGGAGCTCAGGGTGCTAAGGCACAAGCGGGGTCAGTTTCCTTCATGCCCCTTAGGGTCATTGACTGGACCCTGAAGCAGTACTGTGGGTTGAAGCTTAGGCACTGCTGCCAATGGGAAAGTCAGAATCATTTGGAGATGAGTCAGTCCCCAAGGGCTACCTGGTCCTCAAGAGGACATGACGCTCACATGGTAGGCCAGAAGGGCAGTTCTACCTCATAGTGTCCACCAAACCCTAGGGCTGGACAAAGCCTATCCTGCCTGGCCAACGCTGACCTTCTTAGCAGGATCTGAGATGGAGGTAGGGGTAGGGCAGAGGGCAGGGGCAGGGGTTGGACTGAGGGCAGAACAGAGGGTCTGGGAGTTGTCACTGCGTCTTCGGGTGGGGTTCCTCTGGAATGAGAGTGTGGAAAAAGTAATCCCACAATTTAGTGCTGATGCCAAACCCTGGAGAAGAAGACAAATGGGGAAGAAGATGAGCACTGACAGAAGGGTGGAAATTTACTTGGGACAGGAGCCAGGGTAGAGCTAGGAACAATTTTAACATCTCTCCCCACTGACCTTCCCAACTTCCAGAAGCCAAGACTCAGACACCTGTGTTTCTAGTGTTCCCAGGACATAGTTGGAATAACCCCAGACTCCTTATCTAGCCTGAGTTCCTGGGATATCCTGGCCCTGCTTGCCTCTTCCTCTGTCTTACCTCCAGCTTCTCCTTCTTCCTTGCCAGGCGAGTTCATTCACCTCAGGGCTGCTGCTCCTAGAATGTCCACTGCCCAGGTGTCAGGTATTGGCTTCTCTTTATTTGGGACTTAGGTTGAATGACATCTGCAGTGAGCCATTTTCCTGAACTATTTTAGAGCTTTGCATCCCAACACAGTAGCCACAAGACACACATGGTTAATGAGTACTGTGGATACGGCTAGAGCTTCAAAGGAACTCATTTCTGATTTCATGTAATTCAAATTAATTTAAATTTTGATGTAAAAATAGATTATTTGAGCTGGTGTGGTGGCACACGCCTTTAATCCCAGCACTTGGGAGGCAGAGGCAGGCGGATCTCTGTGAGTTCAAGGCCAGCCTGGTCTACATAGTGAGTTCCAAGACAGCTGGGGCTACAGGGAGACCCTGTCTCAAAAAGACCAAAAAAAAAAAAAAATTGATTCAGTTGCTGGACAACACTTATGTAGGTTTGGAGCAACTTATATCTGTGAATCAATCTTTTTTAAGATTTATTTTTATTTGTAATGATGTGTATATGTGTGTGTGTGTGTAGGTATGCGCATGTAAGTATAGGAGTTGATTCCTCAGAAGCTGGAGTTCCAGGCAGTTTTGAGCCATCTCACATGGGTGCGGGAAATTGAACTTGGGTCCTCTGGAAGAGCAACAAGTGCTCTTAATGGATTTTTTGGTTTTTTTTTTTTTTTTTATGTGTATGCGTGTATTGACTGCATGTATGTAAGTGCACCTGTGTCCTGCAATGCCCGCAGAGGACAGGAGAGCAGAGATCTGCCTGCCTCTGCCTCCGGAGTGCTGGGATTAAAGGCGTGTACTACCATGCCTGGCTAGTGCTCTTAATTGTTGAGCCATCTCCAATCAACTCCAATCCAAATCTCTCTCTCTCCTTTTTTTTCTTTTTTTTTTCTTTTTTTGGTCTTTTTGAGACAGGGTCTCCCTGTACTCACAGCTGGCCTGGCACTTGCTATGAAAATCAGACTGACCTCAATCTTGCAGAGACCCACCTGCCTTTGCCTCCCAAGGGCTGGGATTAAAGGCATCGCCACCATGCACTGCTAGCCAAATCTATCTTTTAAATTACAGATTTTATAAAAAAAATATAGAGCAAGTAAGTCCAGTGAAAATTTAGCATCTGAATTGAGATGTGCTCTCAGCACAGAAGCAGGGTCTCTCTGTAGCCCCAGCTGTCCTGGAACTCACTATGTAGACCAGGCTGGCCTTGAACTCACAGAGATGTGCCTGCCTCTGCCTCCCAAGTGCTGCAACTACAGGCATGCACCACCATGCCTGGCCTCATTAATGATTTTTAAAAAAATATTTTTATTTATTTATTTATTTATTTATTTATTTATTTATTATTTATTTATTTTTGGTCTTTTTGAGACAGGGACTCCCTGTAGCCCCAGCTGGCCTGGAACTCACTCTGTAGACCAGGCTGGCCTTGAACTCACAGAGATCCAAATGCCTCTGCCTCCTGAGTGCTGGGATTAAAGACATGTACCACCAGGCCCGGCTTATTTATTATTTTTATGTGTATGTGTGTATTGCCTGCATTTAGGTAAGTGCACCTATGTCATGCAATGCCTGCCGAGGACAGAAGAGGCTTTTGGATCCCCTGGAACTGGAGTTATGGACAGTTGTTAGCTGCCATGTGGGTGTTGAAATTCAAACTTGGGTCTTCTGCAAGAACAGTCAGTGTTCTTAACAGCTGAGCCATCTCTCCAGCCCCATGTTAATGATTTTTATGCTGATCACAAGTTAAAATGGTAATACTTTGGTTATACTGAGTTAAATAGATGTATTATTAAAAATCTCTGTTATTCTCCCCCACCCTTCTTGATATGGTTCACACTGTAGCCCAGGCTGGCCTCAAACTCACTATGTAGCCCAGGCTGGACTTGAATTCTCAAAAATCCTTCTGCTTCAGTGTCCTGAATACTAAGATTGCCTTTTTAATTTTAATTAAATTTACTTTTTAATTTAATGGTATTTTGTTTGTTTTGGTTTGGTTCACTCTCTCGCACATGCCCTCTCTCTCTCTCTCTCTCTCTCTCTCTCTCTCTCTCTGAGACAGGGTTTCACTATGTAGTCCCAGCTGGCCTGGAACTGGCTGGCTACGTAGACCAGGCTGGCATCAAACTCAGAGATCCAGCTGCCCCTTGCCTCCCAAGTGCTGGGACCAAAGGTGATTACAAGTTAAAATGGTAATACTTCGGTCATACTGAGGTAAATAGGTGTATCCTTAAAAATCTCTCTTCTTCCTCTCTATACCTGGTTCTAATACTTTCTTGCTTTATTTTACTTATGGCATTCATTTATCACTGTCTGAGATTATCTTGACCATGTACTGATTTCCTTGTTTGCCTGTTCCTGCACAGCTGGTTGCACTAGAGAGCCATGGGGAGGGAGCTCTTTGTGCATGCCCACTTCCCTGAATGGAGCCTGGCTCTTGCTTGGAACCGAATAGTAACTGTCAAATAAGTCAAATGAATGAAAACAAAGCCTGGGAAGTACAGGCCCATCCTTACCTGATTTCTGGTGTTCAAAGTGATGCTTGACATGGTGGGCCTTCATGCTGTACAGGTAGGAACCCTTATGTGGTGAGCCGAAATGTAGGTAGTAATGGGTCATGTCATAGAGGACATAGCCTAGGAGACCCCCAGCAAACACAGTGCCCCCCACAGCTTCAGGCAGAATGAGCCTCAGGAGCACGTAGAAGAAGGCAATCATTAGAGAGGCTGGCACTGGGGGGAAGACCAGGCGGGAGCCATCGAAGGGTGCCTGTGGATAGAGAGGCCCAGCTGTCAGAGGCAGCCCAAGGGCATTTATCTGTGGCCATGGCATGCCAAAGTGGAGATGCTCTTCATGGAGAATGGAATGGAGTAGCCAGATGTTCCAGTGAGGGGATAGTGACCTGTCCTGGTAAGGCTTGGCATCTTTGGTGGCTTTGGGACAGGTAGGTCCCCCATGCCTGAAAGACCTATATAACACTCATGTGTGCACACATTCACACTCACACTCATGCTGTCCCCACCTTGCTTAGATTAGAATGTCTGACCCTGTCACCATCTGAGCAGTATCACATAGCCTTCATTTCTATCACTCCCAACCCAGAGCTGGACTCTAGGAAGACCCACCACTCATGGGAGTTGGTGACAACTGCAAGGTCTCCTGGGGCTGGCTGCATATGTTGGGGCCTGGGGCGGGACCCACACTGCTCACCTTGTGGTGCTGGCCGTGCATGACGAAGTGCAGCATGATGAGGTAATAGCTGTCACTGGGGGGCTTCATGTGGAACAGGAATCGGTGAATGAGGTACTCGATAAGGCTCCAGAGGAATATCCCCAGCACAAAGAGACCAGGGAACACGGACTCAGGCACTGCCACTGAGTACTCTGCAGTCGGGGACAGAGAGAGGTGTGGTCAGGGTCAGTGGGGCCCATGTACACATGCCTTGGTGGCTCTGGAGTACTTGACTCATCACTCAGGCCAGTTGGGGTGCTGCTGCTTTATACATAGTAGCTATGGTTAGGTCATGCTGAGATGCCATGTGTTGAAGTGAGAAGGTTATGAGGCGCTGTACTGAGTTTGGAAGGGCCCTTTACTAGAGTCATGGGGCTGCTGGCCAGAGAACTGTTACTTTACTCACGTGGACTGTAGGAAGTATAGCTTTGGCTGGTTCCGGGACCTGTACCCTGGAAAGGTGGAACTCTGCCTCAGTGTCATGAGGGAGGAGAAGGGGACCATCCTGACAAAGCCAGTAGAACCAGCCAGTTAATTGATGAACAATTGGGGACCATGGTGAGGAGGAATGGAAGAACAGGAAAACCCAAATACAGATCAACAGACAAGACTTTAAATCACAGCTTCTGAGAAAGGCCTTAAAAAACTGAAGATGATCAGTCTGGATGCAGGTGGGAAGACTGGACAATTATCTTTAAAAAAATTTAAAATATTTATCCAAGTGTGTGTGCCTGCTTGTCTGTATGAGCACCTGTGTGCAGGTGACACATACCTCTCTCTCTCTCTCTCTCTCTCTCTCTCTCTCTCTGAGACAGGGTTTCACTATGTAGTCCCAGCTGGCCTGGAACTGGCTGGCTACGTAGACCAGGCTGGCATCAAACTCAGAGATCCAGCTGCCCCTTGCCTCCCAAGTGCTGGGACCAAAGGTGATTACAAGTTAAAATGGTAATACTTCGGTCATACTGAGGTAAATAGGTGTATCCTTAAAAATCTCTCTTCTTCCTCTCTATACCTGGTTCTAATACTTTCTTGCTTTATTTTACTTATGGCATTCATTTATCACTGTCTGAGATTATCTTGACCATGTACTGATTTCCTTGTTTGCCTGTTCCTGCACAGCTGGTTGCACTAGAGAGCCATGGGGAGGGAGCTCTTTGTGCATGCCCACTTCCCTGAATGGAGCCTGGCTCTTGCTTGGAACCGAATAGTAACTGTCAAATAAGTCAAATGAATGAAAACAAAGCCTGGGAAGTACAGGCCCATCCTTACCTGATTTCTGGTGTTCAAAGTGATGCTTGACATGGTGGGCCTTCATGCTGTACAGGTAGGAACCCTTATGTGGTGAGCCGAAATGTAGGTAGTAATGGGTCATGTCATAGAGGACATAGCCTAGGAGACCCCCAGCAAACACAGTGCCCCCCACAGCTTCAGGCAGAATGAGCCTCAGGAGCACGTAGAAGAAGGCAATCATTAGAGAGGCTGGCACTGGGGGGAAGACCAGGCGGGAGCCATCGAAGGGTGCCTGTGGATAGAGAGGCCCAGCTGTCAGAGGCAGCCCAAGGGCATTTATCTGTGGCCATGGCATGCCAAAGTGGAGATGCTCTTCATGGAGAATGGAATGGAGTAGCCAGATGTTCCAGTGAGGGGATAGTGACCTGTCCTGGTAAGGCTTGGCATCTTTGGTGGCTTTGGGACAGGTAGGTCCCCCATGCCTGAAAGACCTATATAACACTCATGTGTGCACACATTCACACTCACACTCATGCTGTCCCCACCTTGCTTAGATTAGAATGTCTGACCCTGTCACCATCTGAGCAGTATCACATAGCCTTCATTTCTATCACTCCCAACCCAGAGCTGGACTCTAGGAAGACCCACCACTCATGGGAGTTGGTGACAACTGCAAGGTCTCCTGGGGCTGGCTGCATATGTTGGGGCCTGGGGCGGGACCCACACTGCTCACCTTGTGGTGCTGGCCGTGCATGACGAAGTGCAGCATGATGAGGTAATAGCTGTCACTGGGGGGCTTCATGTGGAACAGGAATCGGTGAATGAGGTACTCGATAAGGCTCCAGAGGAATATCCCCAGCACAAAGAGACCAGGGAACACGGACTCAGGCACTGCCACTGAGTACTCTGCAGTCGGGGACAGAGAGAGGTGTGGTCAGGGTCAGTGGGGCCCATGTACACATGCCTTGGTGGCTCTGGAGTACTTGACTCATCACTCAGGCCAGTTGGGGTGCTGCTGCTCTATACATAGTAGCTATGGTTAGGTCATGCTGAGATGCCATGTGTTGAAGTGAGAAGGTTATGAGGCGCTGTACTGAGTTTGGAAGGGCCCTTTATTAGAGTCATGGGGCTGCTGGCCAGAGAACTGTTACTTTACTCACGTGGACTGTAGGAAGTATAGCTTTGGCTGGTTCCGGGACCTGTACCCTGGAAAGGTGGAACTCTGCCTCAGTGTCATGAGGGAGGAGAAGGGGACCATCCTGACAAAGCCAGTAGAACCAGCCAGTTAATTGATGAACAATTGGGGACCATGGTGAGGAGGAATGGAAGAACAGGAAAACCCAAATACAGATCAACAGACAAGACTTTAAATCACAGCTTCTGAGAAAGGCCTTAAAAAACTGAAGATGATCAGTCTGGATGCAGGTGGGAAGACTGGACAATTATCTTTAAAAAAATTTAAAATATTTATCCAAGTGTGTGTGCCTGCTTGTCTGTATGAGCACCTGTGTGCAGGTGACACATACAGTCAGGGAGGCCAGAAGAGGGCATTTGGTCCCCTGGAACTGGACACAGGTGGTTGTGAGCCACCATGTGGGTGCTGGGAACTGAACCTAGGCCCTCTATAAGTGCTGTTAGTACTGCCAACCTCTGAGCCATCTCTCTAGCCAAGTGAAATTTCTTCAGAGGCAAGGTCCTTGATACCCTGCAGTTCTGTCTGCTCTCATTGCTCTTCTCCACTTCATTCAACCTCTGACTTCAGCTCTTGTCACTTTTTCTTGTCCCATTTCCTCCCTTTCTATCTAACCCTCTTGGCTTTACCCTTTGCACTGGTTAATTTTCACTGTCAAGTTGCCTGGATTTAGAGTCTTCTTGGAAATACACCTCTGGGTGTGTCTATGAGTGTTTCTAGAAACATTTAACTGATCTGATATGCCTGGCACCATGCCATGCATGGGGGTCCTGGACTTGAATAGAAAGGAGAAAGTGAGCTGAGTGGCACCATTCATCTCTCATGGCTTCCTGACTGTGGGCACAATGTGACCAGCTGCCTCATGCTCCCGCCACCATGATTTCTCAGAAATGATGGACCATAGCCTCAAACTATGAGCCAAAATAGACCCTTCCTTCTTTAACCTGGCACCATGCCATGCATGGGGGTCCTGGACTTGAATAGAAAGGAGAAAGTGAGCTGAGTGGCACCATTCATCTCTCATGGCTTCCTGACTGTGGGCACAATGTGACCAGCTGCCTCATGCTCCCGCCACCATGATTTCTCAGAAATGATGGACCATAGCCTCAAACTATGAGCCAAAATAGACCCTTCCTTCTTTAATTTTCTTTTTTTTTTTTGGTCTTTTTGAGACAGGGTCTCCCTGTAGCTCCAGCTGCCTGGAACTTGCTCTGTAGACCACGCTGGCCTCGAACTCACAAAGATCTGCCTGCCTCTGCCTCCCAAGTGCTGGGATTAAAGGTGTGCACCACCACGCCCGGCTTTTAATTTTCTTTTGTCAGGCATTTTGTCAGAGCAATAAGAAAAGTAACTAATATAGAATATAGTTCTCCACAAGCCTTTGCTTTGGTCATGTTCATTCTCTCTCTCTCTCTCTCTCTCTCTCTCTCTCTCTCTCTCTCTCTCTCCCCCCCTCTTCCTCCCCCCCCCCTCCCCCTCCCTCTT